GTGCCGGCTCCTCCGAGCGTGTGCCGGCCGGAGCGGAGGCAGGAAAGGCAGGCGGCAGCCTCAGCACCGAGAACCGGGTTTAGACGCGGCTCCGCGGTGCAGGAGCGAGCGAGTCGAGGCAGGTCTGCGGTGGCTGCTCGGCGTCGCGCGCCCGCCGCCGCGGTGGGGCTCAGCACGTTCCTCCCTGCTCTGGAATTCGCAGCCCGCTTGGAAGCCAGCAGCGTCTCGGCCCTGTGCCGCGGTCCTTGCCACGGGTTGTACTGCAGGGGAGCAGTGTGGAAATGCAAAATGGCCGGAATCACAGAATTGCAGAAACTGGCAGTGGCTGCAAAGGAGAACGATGTCCCCGCATGTGGCTTGGGCCGTGCTGTCCCTCTGCGGGTGTCGCTCCGAAGGCACCGGGATGGGCTGTGTGGCCCCTGCTGCCGCAGGCAGCTGGAGCTCTGTTCCCTGCGTTCCTGCACCTCCAGGCTCTGTGCACAAGTGACCTGCCAAAACAGGCCCTGCATCCTTATTTTCTCCGTCCTAATGGATTTAATTGGAGCTTCCCATATGATTCTTCCTTACTAATAGTAATGAAACAACTCATTTTCAGAGGTTTGAGAGGCTAAATAAGGTAACATAGGTGCTTGTTTAACATCTTTCTGTCTTTGGAAAGAAGCATGACAGATCAGTAGGGAGAGATAGTATCTCCTAATATCTCTTATCCTGCGAGTGTGTCCTAGGTCAGGAGTGATGGGAAACGTGTGGGGTGAGCGCTGTGGAGGAGCTCACTGTGGCCCCTGTTTGTTGGAGCTCTGGGGAAACTCCAGCCCGCTCCCGAATGAGCGTCAGTGCTGGAGGAGGCCCCGCTAAGCCGCCCGCCAGGAATACCCAGCCTGGCCGTGGATCCTCGCCTTGATATTCCCATTAGTCTTGTCCCTTATTAGCAGGAGAGCTGAGCTGACGCCGCCTGCTCGGTGATTACACTCAGCTTCAGCAAATGAGCTCTGGAACGGCTCTAAGAGGAAGCGGCTCCTGGAGCGTGAGCCCCGCTGGTGAGGAGATAAGTAAACGTTACCTCCGATGCCCTTTGCTCGAGAGCCGCGTGCCGGGCGCCTCCACGTCTCCTGTCCCCGCGCGCTGCCTCCCGGGTGGCCCCAGTCTGCCCAGGTTCCCTTCCCTCCCTTCCTTCATCCCTCAGCTCGGAGCAGGGATGAGCCTGTGAGTCTGGTTATCGAGTCTTGTGGTCCACAGTGTTTAGGGTTGCCTAAATATTTAGTTTTTCCTGTCATCGCCAATGGGCACCTGCATCTTCCGACAGTTGTTGTGGATTGGGGTTGATTGCTAAGCGAACACGTGGGCATGAGTGTGTTTGACACTGTTTTATTGTGCCTTACATTAGAAAGAAAAAAAAAGTCTCCCCAGTTGGGAGGTCTGGACTTGCTTTCAGTTATGTGGGTTAGCAAAGGAAGGTAAATGACACAGCTTTAGGCTATGAGTGAGGGAAATGGAGAAAGCAAGGGCACGAGCTGCTCTGACACCTCACAACGCAGTGGTTCCTGGTGCGAAGTGTCCTGCAGTGTCCTGTGCCAAGCCTCTGTTCTGGGACCCGGCGGGTTTGGATTCTAGCAGTTTTATTGCCTTGGGCAGGAAAACTGTCTTAAAATGCAAAGGGAGAAGGTTTCCGAGAGGTGGAAGGGCCGTGCGAGCAAGAGCAATTCCTGCACCTTCCTCTTTCCAAGTGCACGTGGCCATGTGGTGCCTCTCCAGATGCTTCCGAGCAGCTGATGCCAGGGCGAGGGAGCGGTGTTCCGCAAACCACAATTCCCTGAGCTTTTTCCGAGTTGTGTGTTCCCCGGGAGGCTTTTCCTCTTTTAATTGTGCTTTCTCAATTGCAGGCATCTCTCACTCCAGTGAAAGCTGGAGGAGAACTGGAGGAGAAACCAAAGCCGAAGGATCGGATCACGTCTTGTCTCTTGGAGAACTGGAACAAAGGAGAAGGCCTGGGATATGAGGGAATCGGCTTGGGCATCGGGCTGCGAGGGGCCATCCGGTTGCCATCCTTCAAGGTAAAAATGAAGACACTGCTTAAATACTAACATTCCTTACAGGTGCAATAGGAGGACATTAGATATTTTCCTGTTAGGACACTGTTTCAGTGGGGTTTGAAATATATGGTTGCACTTGATCGTCTTGAAGGTGTTTTCCAACTGTAATGATTCCATGATATGCTTAAGCAAGTAATAGTTAACACTCTTGTTTCTCTGCTTAGAACTCTGTTTAAACAGAGCTCATTTGGAGCTGGATTTACCATTGATAATAGCCTGTAGCATTGCTGAATCTCTGAGTCTTGAATAATAAGTTAGTGTCTTGCAGATTGAGAGCTGAGTCTTACCTGGAAGCTCAGTTAAAAGGGTTCTCTGCCTCATGTGAGTTAACAAAATCAGTCCTTCGATCTTAGGGAAAGTCCTGTTTTTTTCAAAGAGCGTTTGTGCTTCCTGTCAAGAAGTGGAAGGATAAAAATGGAAAGGATCTTCAGAAAAAAAAATAACAAAGGATGTAGAGGACTTCCATGAAATGAATTGTGTAAATGCACAGAAGATGCAAGTGAAGGTTGGGAATGAGGTTCTGTGGACTTGATTTAGAAGTTAAGTTGTTTAAGAAGTCACAGGCTTTGACTGTTTCTTTTTTCCTGCATCTTAGACACATGTTGTGTTTTTTTTTTTTTTTTTCAAGAGTTTTCTCTGTCATCTTCAAAGTACCTGGTGATGGCATACACCATGCTGGCATTGCGAGTGTTTTGATGCAAATTGAAAGAATAGAATTTCTTTCACAGTAAAATTTCACTTGCAACCAGATAAAGGAATCTAGAGCTGTGGGGAAGTAGTCCTTGTTTTCTGGGTGCATGTCACCCTGGTAAAGTAAAAGAGAAGCTGTTTTCTGCTGTTTTTAAACCCTTTTAGAAATGTTAATTGTGTCTTTTGTTCAGGTGAAAAGAAAGGAGCCACCTGAAGCTGCCTCAGCAGGAGATCAGAAGAGAATCCGGCCTTCTACTTCAGTTGATGATGAAGATGAAGGTTTGCAAAGCACATTTGTTTGAAACACAAGAGCAGATGCAAACCACACGCGAGCTGAATTCTTTTAAGCTTCGCAGGGGGGTGCTCACTTGCAGTTAGACACAGAGTCAAGGATCTGAGCCAAAACCTTTCCTCTCACAGAACTCTGATCAGCTAGGAGATGTCCCGTCTGGATTCTGTTATCTTAAATTCACTGTCAGGAGATTTAAGACACGCATTTTATGAATAACTCATAATTTAGTTTTGCTGATGGTCATCCAGCAGAGGGAGCTCAGATTAGTTCATTGACCATGTTCCAGAGATGTGCTTGTAAGTCACCAAGTACATTGTGGACGAAAACAAGTGAGAGTTGGTTTGGCCTGCAGTTTGTTTGTTTGTTTTTTTAAAAAAAGTGTATATATATACATATATATATATAAAAGAGGCTTTGACCTCTTGCATTTTGCCATCCTTGGGGTTTTCGGCACCCTCTGCTCAATCTCATCCTCACTTGCACTGTAAAATTAGCAGGTGTCTGCGAGTTTAGGGTCTCTCCCACTACAGGGACATATTGCTCCCAACCTCAGTCCTCCTGCAGAGGTCTGTGTGAGGCAGTCAACTCTCTCCCTTACTTGCAAGGTGTGTGAGGGCTGTTTCCTTCTTGATTTTGCTCACCAGAATCAGAACGGGACAGAGATGCTTCTGACACGACATCTGACCTGTCAAAGAAGGATGCAGAAACCGTGGGGCTGAGGCGGCGACCAGCACGGCCGCTGGAGCTGGACAGCGAGGGGGAGGAGGGAGACGAGACGTCGGGTAAAGAGGAAGAATCTTCCTCGGAGAAGGAAGAAGAGCAGGAGGAAGAGCTGAGCTTGGTGAAAGCAGCACCTGGCAAGGTGTGTTGGTTTTATTGCCCTGTTTTAAATGCTGTCCATCATTAAACATGGGGGAGTCTAGTAATTTCAGCTTCCAAAATTGTCTACTGTGAAGTCTGAGCCCTAAGAAGTCCCAGAGGAATATTGACCCGGGAAGTTCTTGGGCTGGTGTCCCTGGGAGTCGCTGGGGGTTATTGCAGCGACAGTCAGGTCTCAGAAAGGACCAAACTCTGTTCACATTCAGCAATGCTTTCTTGCAAAGGAGGAAGAGGAGGAGGAGGATGAGGAGGAGGAGGACGAGGAGGAGGACGAAGAAGAGGATGAAGATGAAGAGGAGGATGATGAGGAGACAGGAGTAGAAACAAGTGACAAGGAAGAAGAGCAGGACTCCGAGGAGGGTAAGCAGTTCCTGGTGAATCGGCAAGCACGTAGCTTTCACCTCAGGTAGGGTCTCCCTTTGGCACTTTTCGTGAGCTGATTTTAACCTTCTCACCGTCTTTCAATGAAGGCTCATTCGGTACAAGGTAACCAAAGCCTTCTGTGATCCCTCAGCCCGTGGGTCCCTCTGTAACTGTTCTTCAGCCCTTGGGTGATTTCAGCCCAGCTTGATGAGGATAATGGTCTCAAAGGCAGCTAAAGTCCTGCCCGTATCTTGAAATATATGTGGCTGAGAGGAGAAGGGACCATGTTTCAAATGGGTAATCATTAGCATCAAATGACTTTTCCATCCTATCAAAGAATTCCTGCTCTGGAAGGTAGCAGCTGCCACATTCTAGAGCGGCCTGGGAATACAACAGAAACTCTCAGTATGACTCCACCAAAAAGCCAGTGACCCGGAGACCCACAACAGCACAGTGCCACGCGGTGCTGGTTCTGCTGTTCAGGGAACTGCCTCGTGCATGACGACTACTGGCAGCGTCCAAATACTTGGTTTGTGTTTCTCTGCTAAAATAAATATATGGGGAGAAAACTTCTTCAAACCTGTATGTTCAGCTGTGGATCCTGTTACAGCACGGAAATTATATTTGTTCCTGTGGCAGGTCCTGATTGTTTAATGAGGTCAGAAAGGGAAACTAATGGTAGCTTGTTTTTCTTGCAGAGGATGTAGCAAGTCCCTCATCTTCCAAAGCTGAAGTTGAGTCATCTGATGAAAGTGAGGACTCCTCTGAATTTGAATCGAGTTCTGACTCAGATGATGATGAGGAAGAAGATGAAGATGAAGAGGAGGAAGAGGAGGAGGAGGAAGAAGAGGAGGAGCTGGCTGAAGATCAAGATAGAGAAGCCATGGTTGCCGAGACAGAGCATGAACCTGCCAGTCATGAGATTCCCGATGATGAGAGGGAGACCATTCTGGAGCTGTATCCTGTGGATGACTTCATGGATGCAACGGGCTTGGGACTCGCAGAGCCAGCTTTGGTAGAAAAAGATGAAGGCATGGAAGAAGTCAAGACAGGGGAAAACGAGTGTGGTGAAATCCCAGAGGAATCTATTGCTGCTGAAACACTCCTGGTTATAGAAAGAGACCAGGAGACAAAACTTGCGCTGTCTCCCATCTGTAGGACAGGTATGGTTTTCCATTTGGATTGTCATTTAGCATCGTGTGTCCAAGTACAGCCTTCTTACAGCTTCCATTATATATGTATTTGATATTTACCTTGTCCATTCCTTCTCTTCCTCCAATCACAGCTCCATGCTAGGGGTTAACCCAGCACAGAGACAGAAGTCCGTGCTGAACTTTCTTTTGTTTGACTAAGGAGTTCCACACAGGCCTGCTACTACTAAAAATACTGTGGTTATTTTATCCAGTTTAATTAGTGTCCTGCAAGAACTGAACAGTTGTCATCATCTGAGATCCTTACATTCAGAACCATATCTGTCCCACGAAGACATCCTCAAGGAAACTGGAAACCTTTTCCTAGAGGAGGAGTGAAGTGCATAAAGCCTGACAAACACTGCAGCATCCAGGGAGGATTGACAAGTGCAAACCTGGAACCAGCCAGGAGAGCCCATCCAGTGTGGCCTGTAACGTGAGCCTTGGGCAGGGCTGGTGCTGGGGCTGCCGTCAGGGCACGGTGCAGTTTTGCCTCCTGGAGAGCTGCAGATCCAGTCCCTGCCCAAGCTATCACTGCTAGGCTGTCACAAAACCTGAAAGATTTCTTGAGGCAAAATGTTCAGTCAGGAAGGTGCCAGGAGAACAGGAGTTTGGGGAGACCTGCATTGGGGCACCTTCATACGTGTAATGACCTTTAGAAGTGAAATGTGGGAATGGGCTCAAACTGCCCAGCCAGCCAAACAACTCCAGGTCACTCAGCACAGAGGGGGAGCACTTTCCCTCCAGATGTCCCACTTGAAAATGTTATTTTGAGCCGCCTACGAAAATTCACTGCTGGCTCCTTTTGGCCCTGACCTTAAGGAGGTAAATAAACTTCAGGCAACTCCGAGAGAGCAGCGTGTGAAATGCTCACTGATACCACCCAAGTGTCTCCTCATTCATTACAAGGGCTTCCCATGTTCCTTAGTGTCCTGTTCAAGAGCACGACACTTCCCCTTTCTCTGCTCCCCTCGGGGATCTGCCAGGGTGTTTCTTGGCCCTGTGATTAGTTTACCTTCCCCGTTAGAAAAGCAGACAGCTGGGGGCTCTGATAGCTCTCCTTGAAAACCCACAGCCCGCTAAAGCTTTTTATGGTTGTAAAAAAGGTGGCCGGGGGGTTGTAAGCAGAAATCCTTAATTCTGGCATGTGTAGTAGCTAATCCTCAAATTAATAGTGTGTTTTTCTTTTTTTTTCTTCTTTTCTTTTTTTCTTTTATTGGTCCATTAGGGATGTCTGTGGTAGTGTGTCTAATTACTCCACACTCCGTGTCTCCAAAATGTAAAACACTGGAGTTTTTAAAGCCTCCCAGTGGAATCGAGCTGTTCTGTAACTGCAGTTTCTTAAACATGCCTTTGCTGGGAAGCAAATGGAAGCAAAGTGCTGATCACCAAGGGGAAGCAAAGCTCTTGATTCTGTCCTGTTTTCCCCTTTGCAGTAGAAGAGTCCGAAGCCGTCACCATGCTCGAGTCGGAGGTCCCGGAAGGTCTGAAGGCTGAATCTCAAGAGGAGGCAACGCTCTGTCTGTCGACTCCAGTGGGAATCTTTGGGGAACCTTTACCCAATAAAAGTAGCTTCTTTAGCAAGGCTGAAGAGAGCAGCTTAGAAGCCCGTGTTAAGGCCAAAGTGCCCTCTGCAGCAGAGGAGGACGAGCGGCTGCCTCGGACGCCTGGGCGGGAGGTGGTGGCTCATCCGGAGACCGGCTCTTCTGCTTCCAGCCCACAAGGTGCCATCTTCCATGCTCCCTTTACCATCGACTCCCGGGAAAGAGGAGTCTTTAGGCCCTCCAGAAAAGTTCCCTGAACAGTTAATGGTGACCAAAACACCCGTGGAAGAAGAAATTCCTAGGACTCCTGGGCGGGACATTTTGGCCAAGTCTTCACACCCGCTTGCCAAGTCACAGAGCACAGACACTGTCCCAGCCACCCCAGGAAGCGACGCTCCCCTCACGGGAAGCAGCTTGACCCTCAGTTCCCCTCAAGTCCCAGGGAGCCCCTTTTCCTACCCATCCCAATCCCCTGGCATAAACAGTGGCATTCCCCGGACTCCTGGGAGAGACTTCAATTTCACGCCTACTTTCCCAGAGGCTGGTGCTACCATTCCTTGCCTTCTGTCTGGCAAGAAACCGTCAGAGGATGAGCTAGATGAGAAACCCTTTAAAGAGCCCCTCGGTGCTTCCCTTGTGGTCAGCATGAACAGTGTTCCTTCCCCTATCCCTTTTGCCAGCCCTCCCCAAGCAGATTTCCGCACAGACTTGGGCTTGCCACCTGATGAGCCAATACCTGTAGCAGTCCTGCCCTGCATGCCCGGAGATGGAAGAATTCCCATTGAGGAATGCAAGGCAGAAGTAAAATCTGTTTTGCTCTCGCCAGATGCACCCATGGGTGCTTCTATCCTTCCTCCCCCTCCACCACCTTCTGTTCTTCCCAAAAGGAGGCCAGGTCGGCCCAAACGGTCACCGCCTTCTGTCCTTTCGCTGGATGTCTACCCGGGCAAAACCATAGAACCTCCTTCTGTCCCAGTGGCCTTGGTGGAAAGTGCTGTGAGCAAAGAGCTGTTAAGTGGACATCCTGATGCTTTCTATGGACTGAAAGACCCTGAAGCCGTCACCCTGGATTTCAGGAATGACGGCTTCCACGAGAAAATAGCGCCCGAGATGGTCACAGAGAAACTGCCTTTTAAGGAGCTGGAGAACCAGTGGAATGAAGACCTCAAAGAAGAAGATGTGAAACCTAAGAGGCAGTGGCGAAGGCAGAAGAAGACACCTGAGGACATTCCAATGATTCCTTCCCCTGAGTACTCCCCACCTCGGCCTCAATTCAGGCCGCGCTCCGAGTTTGAGGAGATGACCATTCTGTACGATATTTGGAACGGAGGCATAGACGAGGAAGATATCAAATTCATGTGCATCACATACGAGCGCCTGCTGCAGCAGGACAACGGCATGGACTGGCTCAACGACACCCTGTGGGTTTTCCATCCTTATATCCTTTCTCACTGCGGCCCGCGTTACGCTCAACACGTAGCGATGCAAGAGGGGGACACACTGCATGGTCACTGGGTAGAAGTTACCTTGCAGAAGACTAAATTAGTTGGTGGTAGAAGCATTCACTTATTAGCATAGCAACTGCTTTTGTCAGCAGGGAGTTTTAGACTCCTATTCTCTGAAGCTGCAGTACAAAAATACTGCAGAAGTGGCTGTTTTGGCTGCATTTTCGATCTAGAACTGCAGGGAAAATTTGTATGCACCTCTTCTGGGGAGATTTCCTTCTAGTTTGAGAAGCTTCTGTCTGCATTTAAACTAGACTTTATTTTCAGCTTGCCTGCGGAGTTTCTAGTCTGCATTCTAGCCCTGTCTGTACAGGGCTTTTATTTGGGGCTAAAACTTGTAAAAATAATCTCACCATCTGTGCCCAAAATGATGTGTCGGTGGTGCTAGCAGCTTTAACTAGTGCTGAGTTCAATGCAGATAACCACAGAGTGGTGGTTTCTAAAGCAGGGACAGGCAGAGCTGCAGGGTCCTGTTCTCCGGGGGCACATGGAGCTCCAGAGGGTGCTCAAGGGCCAGGGTCCGGTGCCCGCGAGCCCAGGGACACCCTGGAATCCTTGGTGCATCCTGCCCTGGTGGATGCAGAAGCTGGGGAGGGAAAAGGACCCGTGTCCGTGCGGCCATTTTTGTCGGTCTCCAGACCCCAAAGGCTGCGTCCACAATCTAAACACTCTCCAGTCGTGTTTTTAGGAAGCAAATATGTTGATGTGTATGTTGATGGCCAAGTGCAGCAGCTCCTGCACTGCTACAGGTTGTGTGGAGTAAAAATATCTTGTGCCCTGACTCTGCAAGATGCTGCTTTTATTTATTTATTTATTTAATTATTTAACTTTTGAGAAAGCAAAAAAAAAGGGAAAGGGAAAACCAAGATCCAAACCACTTAAAATAGCTAGTGAGATGACTCACACTAACAAAAGCAGGTTGGGGTCAGTGCTGAGCTGTGTTTTAGCGCTTGCTTTCTCTGCATCTCAAAGGACCGTGTGTCAGATTACATTTAATAATTTTCTGCCTTTTGATACCAGTGTAATAATCCCCAAAATAGACGTATTTGTTTGAGGGAAATATTCTGAAAGAGTGACAAAATGTATCTTCCCCAGTGGTTTTGAGTGTGAATCTGCCCCGTTTGAGAAGGCAGTTCCAAAAATAAGTGGGTTTGGGGAACCAGGGCAGTACATGGCAGTGGAGGGGAGGGGAAGATGCCTCTCTGCATGGTGGCATTTCACAGCTTATGTAGTTGAAATACTTGAGACCTTGTCCCCTGTTGATAAGGATTATTATAACACTAAATTTACAGTCACTTTTTAAGCGCTATAAAAATAACCTGTAGCCAGTTGTGTGTTCATCCTGTGCTCCGCGGCGGTCGGTGTGAAGGTACCTGCAGGGAGCCGCTGCTTTGCAGCCCGCTCACGCCTCGGCGCTGGCTGCCGTCCAGCCGTCGCTGCTTGCTTTGCCCGAGCCCTCGGCTCCGTTTTCCTGCTCTTAAGGGCATGTTATGGTTCACAGGGAGCGTTTTGGGGCAGACCTCCAGCCTCATGGGCTCCGTGGCCACGTTTTGGGGACGTGCTGTCAGAGGGCAGCTCCACCACCTCGCAGAGGCCAAGGCACCTGCACCCCTGTGGCTCGTTGGCCTCTCGTTGGGCTCCTCGCACTTTCACTTGGCTTCTTTGTCACATTCTGCAGGGTTTTGCTCGAGGTCCAGAGGAGCTGGTGGGCTGAAGGGTATCCCAGGGTAGCGCGTCCGTGCGGCAGCCGTCGCTTCCGTGGCTGCGGCAGCGAGTTCAGTGCTGCCTCCTCAGGGCTTGGGGTAGCTGCGGGGGATTTCTGGAAGCAGAATGAAAGCGTGTCATTGAAAACACAGAGTAAACAGTTTGTCCAGATGGCTGGGCAGCTGCTGCCTGTGTACGTGGCCGTGCATGGGGGAAATCCTTTTCCAAACAGGTTTCTCTCGACAGCTTAACCTTTTTGTTTAAACTTTCTTTTTGTGCTTACTTGATTTTCCCAGAGCATCCAGCTAAGAAGAAAAGACTAGGCTCAGCTTCCCTGTAGGCACGTGGGCTTGCGTGGGTGATTTTTAAAGTAGGTTTGTTGTTTCTTTGCAAACCTCAAAAACCCTCCAAGTTTTCCAAGCTCCTGGCATTGCTTACTCAGCAGCTCCACGTAACCATGCCAGGTTGTTTGATTTCCACAGGTAGCTGTGTTGCTCCTTAACTTACATCCACCAACTAGCTTTTCTACTCCCAAGAAAAAGAAGCGGGATGATGGGATGCGGGAGCATGTGACGGGCTGTGCACGAAGTGAAGGCTATTACAAGATTGATAAGAAGGACAAACTTAAATACCTCAACAATAGCCGAGCTTTTGCGGAGGAGCCTCCAGCCGACACACAGGTAAGGCTGGATTTTGGTTGAAGTGGTCGGGTGTTCATGGCATTCACTGTGGGATGTTGTGTGAGGCCACGTCCTGCAGCGTTGTGATTGTGCATGGACAAGAGGCTGTTGTGTCACTGGGAACGTGGGGAATCAGCTCCACAGGGTCGTCTTTGATCACTTGCCTGTCCCTAGGGTATGAGCATCCCTGCCCAACCTCACGCGTCCACCCGGGCTGGCTCCGAGAGGCGGTCAGAGCAGCGCAGGCTCCTCTCCTCCTTCACTGGGAGCTGTGACAGCGACCTGCTCAAGTTCAACCAGCTCAAGGTAGGACAAGCCATGGGATTCTTGCTTTGTGGCACGGAGCAGGGCAGAGCGCAGGCAGGGTCAAGCTGTGAATGACAGCTTTGCTTGGCCTTGGTCATGGTCATCTTGGCACTGGGCACTTCTTTTCCTGCCAAAGGATTGAGTGAGGCCCAGGAGTGAATGTTTTCTCCCCTTTTTTTTTTTTTTTGCAAAATCATCTTTGCAGAGTAGGTCAGAGGTACTTTGGGGAGCTGGGCTCTGCAGCCTGTGATGTTGTAGCAGCTCCTGTGAGGAAAGAGCTGCTCTTCTGGGAGGAACCAGTATAGAGTCTCCTTGGGGCTCTTGGCTCTCCTGCAATTCAGTAATAGAGCTCAAAGACCTCTGTGATTTAACCTAACCTAAGCAGGGACAGAGAAATCACGGGGAAAGCGTGACGCTTGGCTCAGTGTGGTCCCCTGTGAGGAGCAGAGCCATGAGCTGCTGGATAAATGAACTTCTGGAGCTTGAGCTCTAGTGAGAACCGTGAGACAACACAGAGAGGGACCCTTGTTTGCACGTGTGCTGCTCTGTAACGAGCAACTGGTTATCGGCCGTCCCTGCCCTGTGCACACTGAGAGCAAAAGGGGAGGGATTCACATCCCATGCAAGCACCTGGGGTGGCCCCTAAAGATCCGCTCTCCCAGACTGTGCATGGTCAATGGTAAATAAAATAAAATAAAATAAAGTACTGCGGGACATCCTGTCCCCTCTGTCACCTCCTGTCACTGCTGGGGCAGAGGGGAGCTGAACTGGGTTGATGCAGCCCAGCACTGCTTGTGACAGGGAGCATGGACACAGGGATCACCTTTTTGTGCTGTGGCTAATCCTGGGCTGGGATTTTGGGGTGTTTTCTTTCCATGCAGTTCCGGAAGAAAAAACTAAAATTCTGTAAGAGCCACATTCACGACTGGGGCCTTTTTGCTATGGAGCCCATTGCAGCTGACGAGATGGTGATTGAATATGTGGGGCAGAACATCAGGCAGGTAAGCCGGGCTGTGGGGCAGGGGCTGGGGCTGGGCTGGGCTGGGGGAAATTTGAGGAAATCAGCCCTAAAAGAGTGGATTATCTGGCTGGAATCTATGCTGGAAGGCATTAGCTGTGTAAGCTGGGCAGAGGTTGGCATATGGTTTGGAGGTGAAAGGGTGGGATTTTCAGTGACCCATAGGAATTAGGCACCCAAATCCTCAGAAAATAAGCTCTGGGAAAGCCCCTCGTGAACTTGTGTGATTTCAGTTAAGTCCCTGTTCTCGTGGGGTGTTCAGGATTGTACGACTGTTGAAAAGCCGAGTGACACAAGCGCAGCTGAGGTCAGCACAGCGTAGCTCTGTGCTGTGCTGAGCATCTCTGTGGCACGTTGTGACACAGCATGGGGCTTCCCGCAGGTCATTGCTGACATGCGTGAAAAGCGATACGAGGATGAAGGCATCGGGAGCAGTTACATGTTCAGAGTTGACCACGACACCATCATCGATGCCACCAAGTGCGGAAACTTTGCCAGGTTTATTAATCACAGCTGCAATGTGAGTATCGCGTCTCTGCGTACGATTGTGCTCTGCTGAAGTGATAATCTTGTCAAGCCCTTGCTAACTCCGATGTTCAGGAGTGGCAAAGTGTTGCAGGGTTATGATTAACTGTTAAGGACCTGCAGTGATCAAAGCAGAGTCTAAATTAGCATGTGGAGGAGATTGGAGAGAGCCGAGGAATTAAACCTGCAGTGAGGCAGTGCACTCAGAATATCCCAGCTGCGTTGGGAGATCCTGACAAACGCTGTTTAACCATATCTGGGGAGTATTTCCTCAAACCAGAGCAAGCCTTGGCCTTGTTGCTCTGCTGTGGTAACAATCTTTCATTATCTGCATGGAAAAAGGATCTTCTGCCCTGGTGGGCAGAGAAGCTGCCTTTAACCTGTGACAAGCTCAGTGTAGCATCAGCTCTGCCCCGCGAGCGACCAGAGCGTGGATGCTGTAGAGCACAAGGAGGCCTGTGCCCGGGCTTCCTGCCTTCCTCTGCCAGCTCTTCTGTGTCTGGGCTCTGGAAATGGGGCAGAGGTTGTCTAGGAAAAGGACAGCCCCTCTATTTTAGTTTGGAATAGCTCTGTGGAGGCCGGGAGGGCCATTGGGAGCCTAAATCATTCCCTGTTCTGTCACCCTTGCAGCCAAATTGTTATGCTAAAGTGATCACGGTGGAGTCTCAAAAGAAGATCGTCATCTACTCCAAACAGCACATCAATGTGAACGAGGAAATTACCTACGATTACAAGTTTCCAATAGAGGATGTGAAAATCCCGTGTCTTTGTGGCTCCGAGAACTGCAGGGGAACCCTAAACTGAACTTGAGGTTTCTCGTCACACTTGCACCTTCGGCCATGTCAGAACTGTGGTAACCAGGTGTGGTTGCACTTTGCCAAAAAAGAGGAAAAAAATAGAAAAAGAGGAAGAAAAAAAATAAAAAAGAAAAAATATTAAAAAAAGAGGAAAAAAGAGAAGACAAGAACAAGCAAGTTTCGCACTTCCGCCAGGATCACGAACGAACGCAAGAAGCGCACACGCTTACAAGGACTGTTCATGTTTCAGGTGCTCTTTCCTTTTCAGATCCAACACGCACACAAAAAGGTGATCACCAGTTTGTGGCATGGTCTATCCAAACACTAGCTTCTCTGTTCGGTCCCTACGTTAACGCTCCCTAACGGGATAATGGTACCTTTTTTTTTTTCTTTTTTTTTATTGTTGTTATAAACCTTCATCTTTTCATAAATGCTGCTACCTTTTTCTCATCAGTTTTGTTGGTTGAAAAAGACATTCAACGTTTAAATGTGAAGCAGAGACTGAAAATGCCATATGAGGTTTGTCGGGAGCTTGACTGGCTGCAGTTGCACAGACTTGGCAGAGTAAGCTGGAAATAAATGGAAGGTGGATGTTACAGAGCAAGCCAGGGCCGCGGGGGCCACGTGTGCTGGGTGCCCATGTGCGCACGGAGAGGGCGACGCTGTCGGGGACCTGTCCCCTGTCCTGCCTTTGCCTTAGGGATGAGCCCAGGCAGCTTCCCGACCAAGGCCTGGCCTCGTCCCTGCTTTTCCTGCACCGTGCTGGTACGTTGGGGGATCCAGACCCCGCAGCCGTTCAAGGGAAACACGGGATCCGCGGGTGCTCGGAGCACAAGGGGTCGAGTTGGTTCCGTCGTGGTAGATCGCGGCGCGGCGGGATGGCCGTTCCCAGCGCCCGTTTCTTGCGGATCGGCTTGGTTTGCTTTGGAAAATGAGCCCGAGGCTGATCAGAGAGCAGAGAGTCGGTCACGCAGGGGGAATCCTGCCCTCCCTTGGAGCCTTCAGGCTGCCCCGCGTTGCTGGCCGGGGGCCTGCGGATGTCTGGCGGTGCTGGGAGCCCAGCCGCGTTGGTTTTTCTCGCTGTCATCAGCATCTCCCTGCCCTTGGAGCGTCCGTGGAGGGAGCGTTTGCTCCGGCCTTGGGTGCGGGAGACGCCGCTGGTGATAGGAGAGGAGCTGCGGGGCGGCTGCCCTCCCTCCCTCGTTACTCAGTAACTCGGCCGTGCCGAGGGCACCGCGCGGAGACGCCCCCGGCGAGGGCAGCGCGTGCCGCTGCCGCTGGCCCGGGAGCAGCCGCAGGGCTGCGGCCTGGAGATGCCAGCGGGACGGTCGGGCAGAGGCAGGATCCAGCGTGGAATTTCTCTGGCTTTAAAAGTTGTGCTTAGTTGTACGAAGCCGTTTTTAACTGGCTTACGGGGCAGTTGCAATGGATCTATGGAACGCAGACGCCTGCGGACTCCACAGCTACAACCCTCCCCTGCAGAGCAGCCCGGGCTGCAGAGCCGCGTCCGCTCCTGCTCCCGCTCGGAGCCGCGGGCACGGACACAGCTCTGCCGTCGGGATCGCAGCCTGGCCGCGGCTTTCCCAGCTTTTGCTGCCATTCCATGGAATGGCCGGGCCTGCGCTCGGAGCGCGGCGTGGAGCCGGCCCGCATCTTCCCATCCAAATTCCTTCTCCAAACGAAAGGCCTCACCGAGCAGGGACTGCTACAAGCTGCCTTAATACCGCCCGTGTTGTTCTGGGGACAGTGCCGTTGTCCCTGCCGTTGCACATCCGTAGCCTCCCCTCTGTTCTTTTTTGCTTGTTGTTTCCTTTGGGTTTGTTTTATTTTCCCCCCTCTTTCTAAATCTCTCCAGCAAGCGGGTAATCATGGCCCAGAACCTAAAATTATGAGAAGCACAAAGAGTTTCTGTCATGGAGCGTTGGTTGTAGCTACAGCTATGGCAGGAGCGTTTGAGAATTAAACCAGCTGCTTTTTTTCTTTTCCTTTATTATTATTATTATTATTATTATTCTAACGTGGTTGCTCTCATGGCTTTGGAGCCTTTCCCGCCCCCGGCGCTTTGGAAGGCGCTTCCCGCACCTCGGAGCCGGGTCAGGCCGGGACCTT